AGAGAGAGAGAGAGAGAGAGAGAGAGAGAGAGAGAGAGAGAGAGAGAGAGAGAGAGAGAGAGAGAGAGAGAGAGAGAGAGGTTGTCGGGGCAGAGAGGAAGCTACTCACTTCTTAATGGATGGAAGGAAATCTGGACCCTCAGCAGATGGCGACGTTGAGAGCAGGTTCAAGAGATTTTCATCACTCTCTAGAAGGAGCTTCGATGCTACAATGTCAGTCCTCGGATACCTTTCAGAGAAATTTCACATACATCAATAAGACACGTCATCATTTCAAACAACGGGTTAGGGGGGCGAGAAAACAGACGCGATCCTCGTTTTTCTTTCTTTGTCCCCACATTTAATAGGGGGACCTTATGGGCCTGTCTGCTTGTCAGTAGAAAGATGGAAAACAAAGGCTTGCCAGCAAGATTGAAAAGAAGTTGTAGGGCCGTAATGAGGGGGAGCGTGGTGTGCGTGGTAATTTTTTCTCTCAAGGGACGCTGGGCCCGGTTCCCAGCACACGTGCTCCTCCCCACCACAAATAGAATGGAGCTGTGTTTCAAAAACAAAGAAAAACTTCAAAAAAGGAAATAAGTTGTAGACCACCAAGGGCCCTAGCTCAGTTGGTACACCCATGAACTCTTGAAATACGAAAATCGACAGCAACCTTAATTCGAATGCAGATGCGAGAAAAATGAAAAATGAAAAATGAAAACCGAAAAACGAAAAGCGAAAACGCCGAAAACTTTGGCGAAAAGCTAAAAAAAAAAAAAAAAAAAAAAAAAAGAAGAAGGTGAAGATAGCTCCCGACTCTATAATTCCCACCTTCTGAAACAACTCTTTGGGCACTGAGGCCATCCTCACACTACTACTTTATTTTTTCGTTTTTTTTTGTGGCCCACTCTTTTGCGAGACTCTCTCTCTCTCTCTCTCTCTCTCTCTCTCTCTCTCTCTCTCTCTCTCTCTCTCTCTCTCTCTGTGTTTTCTTTTTGTGGTCCACTCTTTTGTGAGACTCGCATTTAGTCTAGTACTTTACTGGATGTATATGACTGTTTTCCCGAACTGGCCTGCATGCACCTGACCACAATTCCATCCACATACAAGTTGAAAATAAAAGTCGTCCTCGTGTGCAAAGATGCCCCGAGTGCATTCAAAACTGGACAACAGCCTCATGGGCAAGACAGATCTGGACTTAAAACTGATTTTGTTTTTAAGAACCAGTGTCCTTGCTACGAGAGGTGGTACGAGCACTCTGGACTTAAGAACCCTCCACAAAAATCGACAAGTCATGGTTCCGGTATCCTCTCAAGAGTATCGCCCAGTATCATTAACATTTAAACATGCGTAATGTAATTTACTAATTTCATACGGAACGCTGGGCCCCGTTCCCAGCACGTGCTGCGCCCCACTAGTAGATTGGAGCTTGTTTTTTATTCCTATTGCAAAAAAAAAAAAAAAAAAAATGTCAACAGACTGACCAAGCAGAGTCTCGGATGCCATCTCTGCTCTATCCGATGTGACATCTTGGACATTTCCATCCATGAGTTTTCGAACGAATGGGGGCCTTAGGATCTTCTCGTAGCTCAAAGCATTATCTCTCTGTTCACATTTTCATTTCAATTGCGGGAGTCAAACGATCACACTATTGTTATGTATTGTGTTGCCACCTATCTGAGGACAAAGTAATTCATTGCGTGCCTGCATGAAAAAAAAAAAAAAAAAAAAAAAAAAAAAACGTTGCCTGCGATGACACAGCAATGAATGACGAAACGACACCTAACAAACAGTAGCAGAGGGTTCAATGAAAGTTTATTATGAAACTTCAAAGTTTAAACTTTGTAAAAAATCTGTGCGTGGAGTGGACGTTGACAAGTTGAGAACTTGAGATTCATGTGGGACTGTGTGCACCCCGGGCCCACCTCGGGACCAGGGTCAAGGGGCAGACCTACGATCATCCAAAGTATAAAATACTATAAATAAAGAGGCAGCGTCAAGTCATTCATTCATTCTGCCTGTGAGCCGTGCGGAAGCGCTGACTGTGCGTCTTGTGTACGGAGGTCTGCAGGTGCCCGAAAAGGAAGTGGGTGAAGAGGAGGAAAACCCGGCCATAGCCGCTTTTGTTAGTGAGAGGTAGAAGACAGCAGCCATAGCTGCCCGTAGGTTGCCCCCAACTCGGCAAAAATATTAAACTCGCCGCACGAGCTCGGAAACCGGCCGCACCCCCAGCCCGAACTTTTTTTTTTGGGAAAGGGCTGCCAAATTTTGATTTCTGTACGCCCTTCCCTCAAAAGTTTCAAAATGGCGAAGCATGAAAGAGGGCTCATTCCAACTTTTGTTTTAGGCGTGGTATGGAAACTGGCCTTCCCGGTCCTTCGGCCAAACGGAAGGAAGCGTGAGTTCCTGCTGCAATGTAATATCTTTTCTGACTTGCCGGTGGAATAGGAACCGGACTGACGCTCCCCAGAATAGAAGGAGCCAGGACCATAAGGCCCTGTTTTCATTAAAAAAACAAAAAAAACAAAAAAAAACAAAAAAAGAAAGGAATAGACCGGAGAAGGAAAGAAGAAGAAGAAGAAAAAAGACATTAAGTTGGCCAATGTCATCTTCCTCTCTTCTTGCCACGTAAACTACCGCTGTGCCTCTGCGATCC